TTGGAACCAGGAAATAAGCATATTGAAATAACTATTTTACTTTTAACAATCTATTTACCAATTTTTACATCGATTAAAAATCCCATAAAAATAAATGTTCTGAATATTTTCAAGTAATACGATCGTTATTTTTAATGTCAATAATACATTTCAATAGTGATAATTACAAAATTCGAGAGATGCTAAAATGGTGGTTCCCACCTTATCGAGACTGAGGCCCACAAGGCTAAACTCGTAGCGTAACAAAAACGACAAATGATTTAACTTGGAACGAAAGACCGAAAGCCGATAGTAGTATTAGGACGTTGAATTTTTTGGTTTATGAAGCATTGGCATTAATTAGGTTAAACCATGTGATGATTTCTATAAGCCTTGATTTTTAAAACCATTCTATATCGCCTTTTGATTAGGGTTTACAAACTTGTTTGAGCAATTTATCAAATAATAATTGGCCCCTTTACCTCTTAAGCCTGCTCATGTAAAATATTTGGGCACCTTACTTCGCCTGTTTATATATTATTAATAAAGGATAGAAGGATGAGTATTGCAACTATGTTAAAAGAAATAAATTGGCTTTCAGTTCAGAATTATGTTCAGTACATGACTGATATTTATTTATAAAATAAAAATGACATATTACTATCGCATCAGATCTATTAGAAAAAATTCAATATAATTCGAAATATCACAACTAAAATACAAGAAGCCAATCTGACTTTCATGTATGGCAAGCCATCACTAAAAGTTCCCAAAATACAATTTTTATTAAAGGTTTAAAAAATTTAATAGACTGCCTACAGAAATTAAAAAAAAAAAAAAACAATAAATGTATTCAAAAGTAACCTCAAACAATACTTGATAAATAAACAGAACGGATATACTTTCTTGTAATAATACTCTTTAAACCTGCCCTTTTTAAGTATTTACCTTAATTTATTGTTATTTTACCCCTCGTTTTACCCGCATTTATTATAAATTATTTTTATTTTGAGATCATTTACTTTATTTAAAAAAAATACTTGATATTATAATAATACTACTTACTGTTTAAATTATTAATAGTTTTGCGAAGATAGGTTATAGCAACTTATAGCCACAAAACTATTTTTGTGTTAAAGTAGATCCATAGAGAGCAATGTAATTTACAAAGGCCTTGTTTCAACATACAAATAAATGACAACTTTATAATTAAAATAAAAAAACACAACAAAATACCTCGGTACCAAGGTAAGAAGATTTATTTTTAAATTTTATTTATTAAGGAAATTTATGACTAGAAGTTTACTAATTATTATTTACAATTCGCTGGTTGAATATGATATCCAAAATCGTATAATAAAAATTTTCTACAAAAAAACCAGCATTATATCCTACCTTTGTATAAGAACATTATATTATCTATCTTGCTGAACCTCTATGGGAAGCCTTAATTGAGACATACTACAAATTATTTGCAATAAATATCAAAAGAAGTATATATTTTTAAATAATTTGACATTTAAGAGCCATTCACACATCACAGTTGACAGGCACAGCCATTGATCTGGCAACGTAAGGATACGTCATATGTAATTATTTTTGATATACAAAATTGGGACCGGTAGGCGTGGCTTTTGCACTCACTAAAATGGCGGAAGAGCAGAACCGGATTTACAAGTTTTTATTGTACTATTTCTGGTTAAGTATCATTATTTGAACTATAAAAAATGAATTTCCTTTATTATAGATAAAAACTTACACATTGACTTAAAAGGTGGTGGAAGGCCAAGGTTACAAAAGAAGGGGGTCTAAAGCAGAGAGGTGCTAAATAAAGTAAATGAAAGAAATAAAATATAACTGATTTAATTATCACTCAAGTGTGACTATTAAGTGCTGGAGAATATATTATTTGAAAAATTGCAACTAATCAATGACCATGATATAACTAACTTGGGGCCGATTTCACCATTTTAATCTTCAATTAGTTTGTTTAAACTTTAACAAAATGGTGGAAATAATCCTAAAGCGTTAAAATCATTCACAGAAAAAATAAATAGCATATTTTTGGTTCACATAAGCGACAAAAATAAAGCGAATTCGATTTATTGGATCAGTCGTAACACTTTTTCACTAGGGCACATACGTAGCACAGAACACTTACTCTATACGTAGCCCAATGCTTTCTGTTTCTATCTTTAAATCGGAAAGTACATGGTCGCAAATGTCAAGTAATCTAACCTTACTTTAATTAACAGCTTCCTCGAAATTAAGAACAAATGTTCATACACTAAAAGTTCGATAATCCGATACGAAACTTAATGCAAGGCTCGAGAAAAATGGCTAATAAACAATCTCTGTGTAGGTAGATGCACTATTCAGGAAATCAAAATGTGGATTAACTTTACTTGGTCTTGGTACTCTTGTAGATTCAGACTGAAAGATGTGTATCTTCATGCAAGACATTCAGTAAATCAGCGAAGCCACAACCAGCGGTGTGCAGGTAGGTACAGGTGCACTTCTAACAAATGTAAAATATGAAGTGATCTTACTTGAGACATATATCCAGTGAGGATAATATGGTGGTTGGTTTGAGCTGGGCTTCTCACCATCTGCAGAGATTATGACTAACTTATGTAAAGGCCTACCATAGTAACAACATCACCACAAGAGTGTCTGTCCAATTTAATTGGTCTATGCACAATAATCATGCATGTATGATTGAAAGTCAGACAAAGAATGTGAAGATAAAGTTAAAGTCTCAATCATAGTTAAAGTCACAGTAAAAGTAAGAGTTGAAATTGTAGGCTGGTGATAAAGGGAGGTCAAGATCTAGGTAATAAATGTTTGTCGAGTTCGGAAAAGTATCATATGCTGTAAGCGCTTTTCTTAACAACTAAGGTAAAAACCAGAATATTTCATAATACACAATTTCTTCGCTAGGCAAAATAAGAAATAAATTTGTGAGAGTACTTCCCAAGTGTTTTTCAAAAGCTCTAAGAACAAAATTGATGAAAATGGCCTAAGCCAAGTTCAAATTCTAAAACTTGAATATTAAAGATAAGTAACTTACTGTAAAATAAGTAAAACCTCATTGTTGATTAAATGGTTGAATAATTCATTACCTGGAGGTAGAATAGTGACCTAAGTTTAACAGGAAAAGCCACTAGAAAAGGTGAACAAAACAGAATGGGGCATATAAAAGTCAAGCAAATATTGTAAATGCAAATAATGTGTGCTGTGATTAAATAAAAGTGTACAAAGAATAAAGTTTTAATATTTTCTTATTCATATCTATGAGTGATATCTGAAACACATTATAGGCAATTAAAAAGATCTATTAATATTGTTCTAAATTAACTATAATAAAACAAACAATACTCATGCATACACAAAACATGCTCTAGAACTAATATAAATAAAACTGGTGGATTCAGCAAATGTAGGTTATATTTAAATAGAAATAAGAAAATAAAATGCCTATAAATTTGATAAACGACATGGCGTACAATTAATGTACTTTTCAAGAAAATGCTTGGAACATATACAGCTGAATTTAGAAGGTTCCCAATTATGCCTGTTGACAAAATATCCACGCGCTACGTTGTTCAGGATTTTCTGGAAATCTATAAATATTATTTCATATGAAAAAGTATTATTCCAATACAGGTAGGCCCAAAAGTTGATAGATGATATTTTTTGCATTTTTAAAAGCATACTTTTACACATTTTATACAAACATGTCATACTACTGTCCTGTATAATATTTATAATTTTGATACTAACCTAAGAAACGTTATTCCAGTCGATTTTTTACAAAAACGACTACCGCTAGACCAGGAACATATAACACAACAAGGCATTATAAACTTTATAAGTTTGTAACACTCAAAATTTGCTCAAATACAAATTAAATTCAAATTTATTAACACAAATGACACTAAAATATAACCTATAAAATTTGACAATTTGCACTCACAGTAATGGCGGACCGGTGCCACTTTCCGATTACGCATGTCGTATCCCTAGGTTGCCAGATCAATGGGCACAGCCAAGCATTATTCTGATTTTTGCCAAATAAAATGGCCGGTTAATTATTCTATTGGGTTGCGACAGAAGGCCAATAAATTTGATAAAGTTGTTTTTGTGGCTAGGGGCGAAATAGTAGTACGCTTAAGTTAGCACCACCATAAAAAAGTCATTTTTAAGAAATTGCTAATATATTTTTCATAAATTGGCAGGCTTGGCTATAATTTCGAATAAAAATAGCCTCCAAAATGGCTATGATTGTCGCAACTTTCCTTAGAAATTTCACCTTTATTATCAACAGTTGTTGTTTGACAGGTTCGTTAGAGAATGTTTGCAATTTATGGAATTTTAAAAAAGTTAGGAATTGAAATTCCTAAAATTGTAATATAAGAAATGCATGTGCGGATTTTAAGAAGATTGATTATAAAGTAGTTAGGATGAACCGAAAATTTTGAAAATCAATAGTGTTCTAACTTACAAGTAATTATTCAAGAAAATCAAAACCGCAAGTCAATCAGAACTTTCGTTCTAGAGTTATCGTGCCGGCATACATACATACAGACGACCAGACGAATTTTTTTTTTCATTTTCGGACTCAGAATGATCGGAAACATGAAAAAAGTTTTAAAAAATGGGAGCAAGAAAATTTTATCGTCTGCACGAATGCAATACTGAGGCACCATAAGAAGGGCCTCAGTAATTCAAATTTGTGTCAAATTCAAATTCTAGACATCAGTACAGAATGATGTGAATATGTTCATTTATAGACCCGTCAACTACAAGATTAACTACACTAGGGATGTACAATATACTTTTTCTACGACCCATTCAATGAAATTAAAAAATTTATCGTGAAAGCGGACTTATCTTACGGCTCGCCTCTTCGGCTTACTGATCCGTTTAATGTTTTAACCAGCGGTAGGGATCCTTAAACGAGCCCAGGATATATCCTACCTAATATAAAAGTTGTTTTTAATTTAAATATTTTTATTTTCAGATCTAATGTGTTGTTCCCAAGCGACAGGGTCGTGTAGAAGTATTTGCGAAAAGGTAAGTTTTAATTTTTTTAGCTAATAGTGGTTTTGGTCACTATTTTGATAATAGAGATATAGTGTGATCCACAATTTTGGAATAGAGATATTCATTTTAACTGCAATGGCATTCTACTTTTTATTGACAATGTTACCATTTTTTATCATTTATCTAAAATCTACGTTACCAGCAATAATGTTGTTATAATTAAATTTTGGGTATATATATTTTTTAGAAGGTTCGTAAATCCAGTGCTGCAATAAAAAAAAATAAAAAAAATCCAAATAAATTTTAGCCGTTTACGACATGAAAAAAATGATCATAGCAAAAGTGTGTCATGAAATAGTTTTAATGCTCTAATTAATAAAAAAATATTTTTCCACAACTTTCGGATATAGGATAGGTCGTCTCTAGTTGTTGCATATTTTTGCATATTATCCCCCTCGTGCGTATACTATTTTGATACTTACAATTATTAATTAATAATAAAACTAGTTATAAAAGTAATTTTAACAAGTATTAAAAGTAATTTTAAAAAACCGACTTGAAAATCGTGCAGATGCCACATCTTAATTAAATTTTTATGGGATCACCACTAACAAAAAAGAATCATACAAATCGGACAAGGTGGTTAAGAATTATCGCTAAACACACATAAGAAATTAACAGTTTGAGGATTTTTCTTATGGACCCAATTATTAGATTTTGACCAAATTTATATGGGATCACCTCTGAGGTACCCCCTTAGTAACAAAAAAGAATTATAGAAATTGCACAAAGGGTAAAGAATTACCGCTAAACATACATTAAAAATGAAGAGTTTGAGGATTTTCTAATGGACCCAATTATTAGATTTTGACCAAATTTATATCGAATCACCTCTGAGGTACCCCCTTAGTAACAAAAAAGAATTATAGAAATTGCACAAAGCGGTAAAGAATTACCGCTAAACATACATTAAAAATGAAGAGTTTGAGGATTTTCTAATGGACCCAATTAATAGATTTTGACAAAATTAATATGGGACCACCCCTGACGTACCCCCTTTCTAACAAAAAAGAATCATTGAAATTGGACACCGTGTTAAAGAATTATCGCTGAACAGTGAACATACATACATAAAAAAAATTCGGAGGAATTGAGAACCTCCTCCTTTTCTTGAAGTCTGTTAAACATAAATTGATGCTAATGAATTAAACACAAAATAAAATTATAAAAATAGTCTGAAATTTAAAACAACCCACATCTACTTGTTATTTGAAGTTTTAACATTCACTATTCAGAACTGTCATTATCATCTGTTAAATATTGATCATTGATGATATTGATATACCCTGATATACCCATTGCAATGAAATTTCCGTTGCAGGTCATGAATGATGAAAATTGTTTATCAAATTGAACAGATAAATAATTGCTGATATTCATATTTATTGCTTTGCAAGATGGAAGTTGGCAAACGTAACGGACAGTTGCCTTATCAATATGTCTTTTTATAACATGTGTAAATGAACTGTCAAACTATTAACAGTATTATTTTTCAAAAGATCGATAGGGCAAAACTGGCGCTGGTATCTTTTCTCTAAATTTAATTGCCAAATCTTTTCGACTTCCAAATTTCTTGTCAATCTGTTCGGCCGAAATATATGCAATTAAAGAAGCGTTTACATTTATTATAACAGAGAATATTAGCAAGGCAGTCATTTTTAGCGACTCTAACACCCGTATGCATAGTCGATTCGCCGGCGTATCACCAGCGATCCGCTAGCGAAAGTCCGAAGAGGTGGCGACTTGCTGGAGATTGTCACCAGCATCTCTCGCATGTTATTCATGATTCATTTCTTAAAACTCAAAAAATCATGAACGAAAATCAAATTTTTCCCCATAAAAGAACATGAAAACTAATTTTTCCTATAAAATAACATGAAAACTTGCGAGAGATGACATGCCGTTGACAATCTCCAGCAAGTCGCCAGCGATTCGTCAGCTATTCGCCATCGGCGGTATTAGCAGCGATCAAAGATATCGGATAATAGATACGCCTTGTATACATTACACTTGTCCGCTACTTTTTTTTGACGGTACGCTCTTCCTATGTTGTCAGATCTCTGTCATCAAATATCAAACATTAAATTTTTATTTAAAAAGTTACTATTACCTTTAATACAATCTAATAAAAAAGGAAATAAAGAAGTTTTTTATTAATTGCAATCACTTAAGACTTTTAAGTATCTATTTTTACATGTGTATCATATGGGAATATTAAACATTTTGGTACAAATCATTTAACTTTGGCAACCCAAGACATTTTGCTGATGTTGTCAAAGTGACAGATCAAGTTTTATTGTGATTTTTGTGGTTTTTTGTAGTTTTCAAGAATAATTTAAACCCTGAACTTTTTATTAAGGACTTTTACGATGGGGAGGAAATAAATAGTGTGCCGAAATACGTAGAATAAGAATGTTATTCGGTCATTTCATAAATAAGATTATGTTAGCATAGACGTAGGCATATACAGGGAATAAGGCTTAATTTATTTAACAGTGTAAAGGCATTTAGCACTAGCATTGTTTATTTAAATAATAATGTTCTATATTTTCTGATCAGGTTTTCTAGAGAAATTATTCAACGTAGAATTTGGCTGCAAAATCTATGCTTGGTGGAGGAAAACATTATGAAAATAAAAGAAGCCTTAGTATATGTTCTGACCATTTTTGTATGGCAGATATTTATGAAAATTTAAGTGGTAGACACATCTTAAAACATAATGCTATACCTATCAAGTAGGTACAGTATTTATTATGGGTATTTTTATTATATGTAAGCTCTAAAATTATACAGTAATCATCACATTTTACAGAATTTTGGGAGAGGTAGTTGAAGAGGCGAAAAATGAAGAAAAAAAAATACTTTTTTTTAGTGCAGTTCGTAACGGATGCTTCAATAACAATCTCACATGGAGATTGTTTCAAAATTGTTATAAAAAATTATTAATTCATTATGAAGTAAAGTCAAATAAAACTGCCAATGCAATTGCTTTAGATGGCACCAGCATCTTCGATTGTAGCCAAATTGCGTTAAATTTAAAATGTTACGAATCAGACACTAAAGAAAATTTGGAATTTACAAATGAGCTTCGTGACCATGATTACCTATCTATATATTTTCTGAGCGAATACATTCAGGATGTAGTTGCTTATATTTCTGGTTTTATAGTAAAATCCTTAAAGAAAAAGATTCACTACAAACAGTGTTCTGCAATTGAACCAGTGAGTTCGAAAACCGTACAAGTCTCAAATTTGACATTTCAAAATAAGCCATTTCGTTTAAAATTTGTCTCTTCATCGATGCGCTATTTCAGTGATGATGTAATTATGGTTCCACTGATAATTAAAGTGACAGTAGATTTTTGGAGTGCGTTTTGTTCGTTTTGTTTACCTAAATTATATCGGTTTTTTTTCACTTTTATAAATATATTCCTAAAGTAAGCAGATAGCATGTATCAAATATAAAATCGTTTAGTTACCAATTATATACCTTTAAACTATTTTTTATGACCTGTAAACAATATTTTGAAATAAAATAAAAATAGTAAAAACGTATATGTTAAATTTATTGATGTTTTTGTTAAAAGTTTGGTTAGAATTAAATGTCAGTCGAACCAAAATGACATCACACTGAACTAGCGCATTGAGCTTAAAAACCGTACTAGATACCTAGCTGTTAATGTAGTACAGCTGATTATACCCGTGAAATTAGGTGAAAAACCGTACATATCTGCGACTCGTACGGCTTTTCATCTCAATTACAAAATAATGGTCAGTTGATATCGAGGTTGATATGGTCAGTTGGAAAAACACAAATACTGAAAATGATGATTACATAACTGAGATAACAGTTTTGATATTGTATTTTTCCTCCTTTTTGAATAAATATAAAATAAATCTTTTCTCATCGACAGACTTTCTGTCTCAACTGTCAAAGGTGCTACTTTCTGTTCTTAATACACAAATCTATTTTGTCTTTTATTCCAAAATATGCTTTACAAAATATCAGTTATCTTATAACACTAAATAAATCTATTGAGCAGATTCTTCACCGAGAGTGTTTGTAGGAGTAATCATGATAGTAAAATGACATTCGAAATGTCATAAAAGAAGTGTTTTTTCTATTGGGCATTCCAAACTGAATTCCTACCAGTGGGCTTTGACGGGTTATAATATTGCAAAATTATGGCAACCCTGTAGACCTGGTGATTTGACAAGGTCAATGAAATAGATAATTACATAGATTGATTATCCATATTTTTCAAAATAAACATAAGCGTATACCTTGAAGTAAAATGTAAGCAATTATTTTTTTTTAAATATCTAAAGGCTAAAAATTGGTTTTAAAACACATTTTTGCTAAACCGATTCAAATTAATAAATATTTGCCAGGCAATATGGCCGCTCGTAAACGACCAGCTTTGAGCAATCTATATAACTATATATGTATCATTGACCCTGTTAATGACAACATGACGACAGGTTGCCATATCTAAACTGTCATTACCCACTGGTAGCCATTTGGACAGGTCGTTGGAATGCCTAATTCGGACAAATTAAAAATAAAGTATTTCTTGATAATCTTAAGCTAATGTGTTTTAGCCTTGTCCAGATATTATAAAATTATTGCTGATTACTGTCCTAAATGAGTTATTATATCATTACACAAATAATTCTAAAAATAGGTGTCGTGACATGCAACCCAAATGGTATGTAATAGAAAGATCATATTTGTATATTTATGTATCTGAAATAAAATTGTTCTGTTTTTAATAGCTTTTAATTTCATAAAAATAGGTAGTCCGGCAATATAATTATTCTTTTTTCGACCTGTAATAAAGGTTTTCAAACAGTACCCATGTAAAAATAATAATAAATGACTTTATATTTTTACTTGCTCTTTGCTCTTCATGTATTTAAAAAAATATATATAATAAAATACTAACAAAAATGTTCTTCCACTTTGAGCTA